AAGTGCTCTTTAAAGTAATCATTTAAAAATGAAAGATGACAGTGGTCCATTAAAATCATATGGGTTATTTTAAAAAATGCTTTAAGTTTAAATTTTAGGTTTTGATCATCCTTCATTTTATCATGAGAAGACAGAATTCTTTAAAATAAGAAAAACCTTTCCAGCAATAGAAAATGAGCACTGATTTTAAAAAAAGTCCAAATTTGGAGGAGTTCCAACCAAATACTCAGCAGCTCTCATGTTTCTGTTGTCCAGCCCTGAAAATTTTTACTTACTCTGAGAGTATTCTCTTTTTTTTTCACCATTACTTGTCCTTGTAAGTTGGTCTGTAGCTGAACTGTATCTACCGCGTTCGCAGACATTTTGTCTAGCAAGCTACTTCCTCTTATTTCCTTTCTGATGATCTAACAGCAGAATTTAAGTTCTAGTAGAACCCATTCTGTTAACTAAGGAATTTTGCTCAACTTGTGTGGCTTACTATCCTCTCTATCCTGTCTTTTGACTTTATTCATCACCCAATTAGATAAAGTAATTTCTTAAAATTGGGGCTGACACGAAAAATAAGCACCAGCTATCTTTTTTGGTGGAAAAAAAACTGCTTGTGATTGTCTGAAGTTGTTTTCCATGATGTTGTAACTATGTTCTCATAATTTACTGGGATGCTATCAATTTATGATGGGTGCGTCCTATTATAGTGGACAAATATGTTTGCTAATGTAAAACTTTGCTAGGAAAAATACAGTTGTGAAGTGGGAAATAATGAGGAGCATATAAATAGGCTTCCAAGTTAAAAGGGTAAATCTGGATATTTGTGGTTTGCTTTTGTTTATTAAAGTTAAGTTTTTACTAATAACAAATGTAGTTTTACGTTTAAGAATGATTTGTATAAAGAGAAATTCCTAATTTTTACTGTTTCGGTGACTTTCCGGCTCAGATTTGCTTAGTTTACAGATGCTTTACTAGTTAAACTTTGGCACCATATGTCTCTTTCCATTGCATCTATGCAGCAGCCTGGTGAAATAATGAAGTTGCGTCTCTACTACAGTGATTTTTCAGTTGGGGTTGAATAACTTAAAGATAAGGTGTTGCAGATATTGTTAAATACATTCCATGTACATGGTAATCTAAGTGCAGTAGTCAGAAAATATTTTTTATTATCCCAGAGCAATTTTAGTTTTGCCTAGCAGGCATTAGTAAAAAGTAGGAAATTATTCTTTCATGAAATTGAACACATCGTAGGATTCAGCATAAATAAATAAAAGACATTTGCTGAGCAAAAGGGAGCCCTTTTATCCCCCCTCAGTTTTGAAATTAGAACCACTTTAAAGGTGAAGTCTCATTTCAATTCAAAGCTTGTCTTTATAGTACAATTTTTTTATCTGTCACTTTTGAAATGAAGACAGCTTTACTGGAAAAGGTTTACTTCCTGTGTTTAGTAATGTAGGGGCAATATACTTACTTGTGCTGTGTTCTACACAGTACAACTAGGAAGCAGTCTTTCTGTCTGGTTTCTAAAGGACTATTCAGATTTGGACAGTTACTGTTTCTGCAGAATGATCGTGTTTAAGATCATGTTTAAGAAAGTTATTGGAAGTTCCTTTTTGTCTCCATTTTTTTTCCCCCCTGCACTTCTGGCTGCACACCCAATAAATATTCTCTCTCCTCTTGCCTGCCATCAATTATTTTTGTTCCAAATTAGCAAGTATTTGTTTTAAGCCACAGTCTACTTTCTTACTCTTAATCTCCTGAAATAAGATGCAGAGCACTAGTCCAGGAAAAACTTGGGGTACTACTGCATAGCAGAGGCAACCTAGTGACGGATGATGAGGAAAAGGCTGAAGTACTCCATGCCTTTTTTACCTCACAGGCAAGCACCTGGCAGCACAGTTTGGGGAGGAGGTGAGCAAATGACAGTGGTGAACAAACAGGCTAGGCCTATTTAGAAAAGCTGGATGTGTATAAGTCCATGGGGCTGGAAGTGATGCACCTGAGGGTGCTGAGGGAGTTAGCTGATGTGATTGCAGAGCCACTGGCCATTGTCTTTGAAAACTAGTGGTGATTGGGAGAGGTCCTGAACTATTAGAAAAGGACAAATATAGTGGCCATCTTTAAGCAAGGCAAGAAGGAGGATCCAGGGAACTACTGAGGTCAGCCTCACCTCAGTCCCTGAAAAAATCAGAGCAGGGTCTCAAGGAATCCATTTTTAAGCACTTGAAGGAGAAGAAGGTGGTGAATCCCTGATGGCTCTTCCTAATCAAGGGCAAGTCATGCCTGATCAACCTGATTGCCTTCTATGACAAAATGACTGACTCTATGGATGTGGGGACAGCAGTAGATGTGGTATGCCTTGATGTTAGCAAAACAAGGTTCCTTGGGTGAATCTGATATATTTTATTAGACCAACCCAAATAGTTGGAGAATAGTTATTAAGCAAGCTTTCAAGTTCAAAAACCCTTCGTCAGGCTAAGGAAGTTTCAGCAGTTGGTGTGTGCTCTTCCTGGATGGAATGAATAGTAAAGAAACCAGGTGCTGGGCTGGGGAGTCAGTTGCCAGGCAGATTATAATGTATCAAAAATCTAATGTCTATGTTTAGTCCAGACAAGTTTCCTTGGGTGAATTTGATATCTTTTATTAGACCAACCCGAATAGTTATTAAGCAAGCTTTCGGGTTCAAAAACCCTTCGTCAGGCTAAGGAAGTTTCAGCAGTTGGTGTGTGCTCTTCCTGGATGGAATGAAAAGTAAAGAAGCCAAGGGCTGAGCTGGGGAGTATGTTTAGTCCATGATCTCTAGTGTCCAGGAGGTTGATGAAATGGAGCTCGTAGGCTCGTCTCTGGGAAGTGTTGTGTAAGTTTCCCTTGAGGATCAGGACTGAGAGATTGGAGAGAGAGTGGCCCTCCTGTGAGAAATGTGCCCCACCTTGATGTTAGCAAGGCTTTTGGTGCGGTCTCGCACAATATTCTTGCAGGTAAGCTAAGGGAGTACAGGTTGGATGAATAGTAAAGTGGATAGAAGACTGACTGGATCATCAAGCTCAAAGGGTAGTAAACAGTGGCTGAATGTCTAGTTTCATAGTTGGTAGGGTTGAAAGGGACCTGAGCAGATCATCAAGTCCGACCCCCTGCCATGGCAGGAAAAAGTCCTGGGGTCAAACGACCCCAGCAAGGTGTTCGTCTAACCTCCTCTTAAAGACCCCTAGGGTAGGGGCCAGCACCACTTCGCTTGGAAGTTGGTTCCAGATCCTAGCCGCCCTGACAATGAAGTAGTGCCTCCTGATGTCTAGTCTGAATATACACTCTACCAGCTTGTGACCGTTATTTCTTGTCACTCCTGGTAGTGCTTGGGGGAACAGGGACTCCCCCAATACCTGCTGGTCCCCTCTGACTAGTTTGTAACAGGCCACTAGATCCCCCCTCAGCCTTCTCTTGTGGAGGCTGAACAGGTTCAGGTCCCTCAGCCTCTCCTCGTAGGACCTGCCCTGCTGCCCCCTATCATGCGAGTGGCCCTCCTCTGGACCCTCTCCATGTTGTCCACATCTCTCCTGAAGTGCGGCACCCAGAACTGGATGCAGTACTCCAACTACGGCCTGACCAGTGCCACATAGAGGGGGAGGATCACCTCCTTGGACCTGTTCAAGATGAGACCAGTTGCCATCCACAGATGCAAGTGGAGTGCCCCAGGGGTCGGTCCTAGGGCCAGTTTTGTTCAATATCTTCATCAACAATCTGGAAGATGGGGTGGGGTGCACTCTCATCAAGTTTGCAGATGACACCAAGCTGGGTGGAGTGAGTAGTGGATATGTTGAAGGGTAGAGCTAGGATTCAGAGAGACCTAGACAAATTGGAGGATTGGAACAAAAGGAATCTCACGACGTTCAGTAAAGGCAAGTAAAAATCCTACACTTAGGATGGAACAGTCCCATGCACTGACAAACTGGGAACTGACTGGCTAAGTCATAGCTCTGCAGAAAAAGACCTGAGGGTTGCAGTGGACAGTAAGCTGAATATGAGCCAGCAGTGTGCCCCTGTTACGAAGAAACCTAACAACATACTGGGGCTGCATTCATAGGAGCAGCAGATTGAGGGAAGTGTTTATTCCCTTCTGTTCGACACTGGTGAGGCCACATCTGGAGTTTTGTCGTGTGAACCGTGTGTCTCACCCCCCCCCCCCACCCGAAAGCATGTGGACAAATTGGAAAGAGTCCAGCAGAGGGTAACAAAAATGGTTAGGGGGCTGGGGCACGTGACTCCTGAGGAGAGGCTGAGGGAACTGGGCTTATTTAGTCTGGAGAAGACTGAAAGGGGATTTAATAGCAGCCTTCAGTTACCTGAAGCAGGGCTTGAAAGAGGATGGAGCTGGGCTGTTCTCAGTGGTGGCAGACGGCAGAACAAGGAACTATAATGGTCTCAAGTTGCAGCAAGGGAAGTTTAGGTTAGATATTAGGAAAGTAGTAAAGCACTGAAACAGGTTACCCAGAGAGGTTGTGAAATCTCCATCCTTGGAGGTTTTTAAGACCCAGCTAGACAAATCCTTGCCTAGAATGATCTAGTTGGGGATGGTCCTGCTTTGAGCAGGGGGTTGGACTATATAACCTCCAGAGGTACCTTCCAAACTGACTTGTCTATGATTCTAAGCCCTTTTGAAGAACACATACACAGTGTATCCTAGACCTAGACTGTATTGCAGCCCCATGGGGTGGATGACAGGGAGAAAGTTTACTAGGGGTACCACCATTCCTTTGAAGGGTGCAGCAAGGTATGAAGACATAGACACAGGGTCAGACTTGTCTCTGCCTGGCTGATCCCCCACCCAGACTGCCTGGCCCCTCTGCAAGGAGGTAAGCACTGTAATATATAAATTTGTTTTTGAAATTGGGTACCACTCTCTTCACAAAAGTTATGGAGGGTGCCTTGAGTCCAGTGAAGGGTGCCCTGAGTCCAGAAAAGATTGAAAGCCACTGCCTTATCTTCTTCCCATCCTTCCATTTTTTTTTAAATTGTAGGCCAGATGAATTTAATGATCCCTCAGAATGTTCAAGTCCACATTATAAACACAAACATCACGCTAAAATGGGACTGGGATAGTTGGAACAACTTCAGTGTGACATTTTCAGCTCATTATCAGTGGTAAGTTCACTACTTTACTATGGACCTAAAATTGTTTGATGTCTGTTTCTGTAAAGATGGCGGGGAAAGTTTTATTTTTGTGTTGTCTTAGTGCAATTTAAAAAAAACAACTTGTTGAAACAAGAACAGGAACACATTGGTAATCTGAGAAGGTGTGGTGCTTTACAAACAGTACATATCTGTCATTTTATTGTTTTGTGCAGTTTGAACATATTCCCAAATGAAAATAAAAGCTAATGTACCTGGAATAGTTTGAATTAAAAAAAAAACTTATTGTGGTAGTAACCTTCTATTAATCAAGTCACTTTGGGAATTTGGGGCTTTCTAGCATTGCGCTTTGAGACAAATCCAAAAAATGAACAACAGCCAGTTCTAGGAATCTATATGTTCTTCAGGGAAGTGACAGTGATTGTCCCTTTAACCTACTAAAAATGTAGATTACTTAATAAGTACAGTAAATTTGTGCTACTAGTTGCATCATAGTTCTGGTGATGTAAGTGGATAATTTTGGTGTGGTTTTATTTGTGGAGTAGACGGGACTGAACTCAGGTTTTTGTGGTGTGGTGGATTTTATATAATACACATATATCATACCACAAATTATGAAGCCACCAGGAAGGCTTACTAATCCTTTTTGAAATTGAATGAATGGCCTGCATATTTTTTAATATGGGTGAATAGAACTTGGAGTTTGTTTAGCTATAGATGAAAAACAATTTTGTATGTTACTGACAACAAGATTTACTTAGCATCCACTTCTAGAAACAACATGTAGAATATTTTGGGCAAGTGGACGTAAGGTATGTATAGATCAGACATATTGATAGCATCGTTGTTTTGTGTCCAAAGTATATTAATGTTGTGCCAGAATAAATGTAGGCAGTAATGATCTTTATTTAGATTTCTGTCATAATGGAGTTCTTGCATGTTGACAGGGTCTCTTTGGGTAAAGTATAAAGGAGCAAACATTTAATTTTCTCCAAGGATGCCTGATCAAACCATGCGTTTGTGTGGGTTTAATTATAAAAAAAATCAAAATATATTCTTTCCCAAATGGGTAAGGGGCAGATTTGAATAACCCAAAAGAGAATTGCAGGGTTTTTTTCTGATGATTAGATTTGGTTTATATAGGATAACTACTTTATGGGACGTATCAAAACCTAGTTGATGTCACTTGAGCTAGTAACTCTGAAACTGATTTAAATTATAAGCCTTTGCATAGAATAGCTGTACTTCTGTCTTGTAAGAAAACAGCACTGAGAAACTTCTGAATGCAGCAAGAGAAGAAAGCACAGAATCACCATAATTCCATGCTGAATTTAGGTCTCTAGAGATGCAGTGTATAGCAAAAGCTGTGTTATCTGGCACTTTACCATCCGGCAAGCTCCACCAACCAGCATCTGTCAATACAAATCTTCCTTCTGAGGGACGCGGCAAAAGCGAAACCAGAAGTCCTACTTCTGGTTTCGCTGCTGTGAGCTGAGTTCTTCTTCTTCACTTCTTCCTTGTGGACCACAGCCCAAGGCAAAGCAGCCTGCGTGGGGCCCCCCTCCCTGTCCCCCAGCACACTGACACCAAGGAGTGAAAGCCCAGGTGCACCGGATGCGGCATATTTGATTAATCGGTATCCCTCGTTCCCAAGGGTTGTCGGATAACAGAGCTTTTACTGTAATTACTGTAATTGTCTAAGCTAAGATTATGTATGTATATGTGAAGGGTTCCCTACTCTCCATTTGATCAGGATATTTGTTTCTTTCCTATGGTTTGTGCCACTTCATGCTGTCAGCTGTACTTGTCAGATTGAGAAGGGCTATTTCTAGTAGGATAAAACAGCTCAGTTCTTTTTCTGTCTTATGTCATACTGGTTTATCTCTTCCCCTTCCTTTATTTCTGATACCTTGTGCTGTTTCTTCCTTTTCTCT